CCCCTACTCCCCAACGTTCCTCACATGAATCACAGCTTGCTATGTGAAAAAATTTATATCAGTACAGTACAAACCCATTATGTTTAATCATTAATGCATTCCTTCTAAGCTAGACATCACATCCAGCCATAAGAAAATAGATCCCAACACTAGCTACTGTTTGTGAAAACCAGCTAAATTCCAGCTGTGTCACTTAGTCCTTAGCTAACGTTAGCTAGCTAGCTATGTTGCTAACGACAGGCTGGGACCGAGAACGAAATGGTCCAACAAAAGGTGCCTCATTTTCACTGAGATGTCACATGAAATCAACCGATTATCAAGACAATTCTAAATTTTAACTACATTAATATCTTCCTGCTTATTTACCTGGGTTCTCCTTGGTCAACGTTGACTTTCACTGCGATTTTGTCCTCGATGTCGCTCAACATCAGCTGAACCAGTAACGTTACTACAAATTTCTGAACGTGGATATTTTACGACAATTTCTACAATTTCCAGCTGCTTACAAATTTTAACTCTTAAATTGCGCGTCCAAATCCAATAGTGTTTTTGCCTGACCCAAGGATTTTGAATGTAACATGGCTTGTGTGCTAAGTGATATATTGTTGGCAAAAAAACAGCAGAAAAACAAAAAAGGTTATCAAATACCTCCAGAAGAAAGGCCTGCTCAAGAAATATGTGAGGTGTCCTATCTGTGGCCACAAGCAGAAAATGATCTGCCATGCGAGCAAAGTTGGATACATATGGTAAGTTAACTTTACAACGGGTATTGATTGGCCTCGAGAACTTTGGGAAAGTTTGAAATGAGGAGTACTGTAAGAAAAGTTTGAATATTTAAATGTTAAGTGAATCTAACTTTCATCCTGGTATGTAGCCTAGTTAGCTAGTCTCATAGGTACTAGACGTGTACACGACCAAGCTAACCGGGGTGACATTGAGACATTATCATTTCACAAGTCAGAACACTTTTTTTGTTTTGTTGCTATGAACATGCATTGAAGAGAAGAATCTAAGCTTTCCAGTGGCCAGTGTCCTTCATAATTGTGTTTGTGCTGTTCGAGAAATTTGATTTCCAGTCTTTCTACAAGGGCTTGCTCTCTTCTGTGTCCAGGCTGCATTCCAACTCTGGACACTCAGGACTGCAAGCCCATGTAGAGCAAGTGAAGAGTTTAGGAGACGCACACCCTCTGGGGCGGCAGGTAGCCTTGTGGTTAAGAGTCTTGGGACTCCTGAGTGGCGCAGTGGTCTATGACACTGCATCACAGTGCTTGAGGCGTCACTACAGACCTGGGTTCAATTCTAGCTGGCCGTGACCGGGAGACACATGAGGCGGCGCACAATTGGCCCTGTGTCGTTCGGGTTAGGGGAGGGTTTGGATTTCCTTGTCCCATCGCTCTCTAGCGACTGCTTGTGGCGGGCCGGGTGCCTGCAAGCTGACTTCGGTCGCCAGCTGGATGGTGTTTCCTCCAACATATTGATGCGGCTGGCTTCCGAGCAGTGTGTCAAGAAGCAGTGCGGCTTGGCAGGGTTGTGTTTCGGAGGACACATGGTTCTTGACCTTCGCCTCTCCTGTGTCGGTAGGGGAGTTGCAGCGATGGGACAAGACTGTAACTACCAATTGGATTTCACGAAATTGGGGCCTTGAGACTGTAACCGAAAGGTTGCTGGTTCAAATCCCTGAGCCGACTAGGATGAAGATCTGTCGATGTGCCCTTGAGCAAGGTGCTTAACCCCAATTGCTCCTGTAAGTCACTCTGGATAAGAGTCTGCTAAAATGTAAATGGTCTACCTTTGGCCTGCAGCCTACCACTCAAGATGTTTCATCTCTGTCTGGAAAGCTTTTGTTCTTCTATTTCCAACAATGTGGATGTATTCCTACTGCTACTGAAAAAGTAAATTGACAATCATAGTAGAATGGAATTTAATGTAATATAATTACTTAGCCTACATTTCAATTATCACTTAGTGTCAGTCTCTGAAACACGCACCTGTGTCTGAGTTAAATGTGCATGTTTCCTTGCAGGATTTGTCAAAACGAAGAGGCATCATCATACTCCATCCTGCTCCATCTGGAAGGATTCAATGTTTAGCCATTCTCGGTTCCACTTACGGATGGGGAAACATTTCTTCATCGGTAGGTTAATGAATTTGACACACTAAGAATGTTTTGGATAATGACATTTTTAGATGGGGTAACATTCCTGCCAAAGACTACAGTGCCTTGCAAAAGTATTCATCCCCCTTGGTGTTTTTCCTATTTTGTTGCATTGCAACCTTTAATTTAAATGGATTTTTATTTGGATTTCATGTAATGGACATACACAAAATAGTCAAAACTGGTGAAGTGAAATGAAAAAAATTACTTGTTTCAAAAAATAAATAACGGAAAAGTGGTGCGTGCATATGTATTCACCCCCTTTGCTATGAAGCCCCTAAATAAGATATGTTGCAACCAATTACCTTGAGAAGTCACATAATTAGTTAAATAAAGTCCACCTGTGTGCAATCTCACATGATCTGTCACATGATCTCAGTATATATACACCTGTTCTGAAAGGCCCCAGAGTCTGCAACACCACTAAGCATGGGGCACCACCAAGCAAGCGGCACCATGAAGACCAACGAGCTCTCCGAACAGGTCAGGGACAAAGTTGTGGAGAAGTAAAGATCAGGTTTGGGTTATAAAAAAATATCTGTAACTTTGAACATCCCATGGAGCAGCATTAAATCCATTATTAAAAAATTGAAAGAATATGGCACCACAACAAACCTGCCACGTTTGGTGTTCGCCAAAAGGCATGTGGGAGAAGCATATGAAGAAGAAGGTACTCTGGTCAGATGAGACTAAAATTAAGCTTTTTGGCCATCAAGGAAAACGCTATATCTGGCGCAAACCCAACACCTCTCATCACCCCGAGAACACCATCCCCACAGTGAAGCATGGTGGTGGCAGCATCATGCTGTGGGAATGTTTTTCATCGGCAGGGACTGGGAAACTGGTCAGAATTGAAGGAATGATGGATACAGGGAAATTATTGAGGGAAACCTGTTTCAGTCTTCCAGAGATTTGAGACTGGGACGGAGGTTCACCTTCCAGCAGGACAATGACCCTAAGCATACTGCTAAAGCAACACTAGAGTGGTTTAATTGAAACATTTAAATGTCTTGGAATGGCCTAGTCAAAGCCCAGACCTCAATCCAATTGAGAATCTGTGGTATGACTTAAAGATTGCTGTACACCAGCGGAACCCATCCAACTTGAAGGAGCTGGAGCAGTTTTGCCTTGAAGAATGGGCAAAAATGCCAGTGGCTAGATGTGCCAACCTTATAGAGACTTACCTCAAGAGACTTGCAGCTGTAATTGCTGCAAAAGGTGGCTCTACAAAGTATTGACTTTGGGGGGGTGAATAGTTATGCACGCTCAAGTTTTCTGTTTTTTTGTCTTATTTCTTGTTTGTTTCACAATAAAAAATATTTTGCATCTTCAAAGTGGTAGGCATGTTGTGTAAATCAAATGATACAAACCCCCCAAAAATCAATTTTAATTCCAGGTTGTAAGGCAACAAAATAGGAAAAATGCCAAGGGGGGTGAATACTTTGTATAGGCCTATGCAGACCTTATCTGGGAGGTTGGCAACAGAATGCTAAGCTGTCTGTTTCTTAGCCCTATATAGAACACCGCCCATTGAATGCCCTCTTATAAAACACTGTTAGAAAAAAGTTATGTACAATATGTACGCTGCAACCATTTTGACAGTGTTTGGGTAACACCTAAAGAGGAGTTCACATTTTTTTCTGCATATTATACTTTACATACACAAGGTTTTTTTTGGTTGTCCCCATAGGAGAACCCTTTGAAGAAAACGTTTTGGTTCCAGATAGAACCCTTTTTGGTTCCATATAGAACCCTTTTCACAGAGGGTTCTACATGTAGCCCAATAGGGTTCTACCTGGAACCAAAAAGGGTTCTCCTATGGGGAGAGCTGAAGAACCTTTTGGAACCTTTTTTTTCTGAGTGTAGGCCAACAGTGTTTTATGCTACATTATATAAATCTTATGAATTATAATGTAACAATAGATACTTTACCTGTATACAGCATAAAACTCATTTTCAGGTTTCCCAACAACCGCAGAATTGTGACAGCTTAAGATATTTATGGGGGGGTTTCAAAACACTTTATTTAACTGTGAAAACGTTTTACCTTCCTTTTATTTTGTGTCTCTCTGTTAACAGTACACCTATTAGGCTCGATTAATTCAACAATTTCATATCAATAGCCTAAGCCAGGTTAATGTCTTCTATTTTTTCACAAATATCAGTTGCAAGGTTTGTAAATAGCCACTAGTGACTAGTCCACATTACAGGGTAGGCAAAATCAATCATAAGCAATTGTCTGCACATTTTCTACTGTGCGCATCCTTCTCTGACATGCCCATGTGAGCAAAACCACGTCCAATTATTTCAAATTGCAAATGGAAGCCTAAACGCATTGTATAGTACTCTACTGATTATTTAATTGCAAGAGGCACGTGAAGAATTTGCAGAGCTCATCAGACAAATAGCACAATCGCCTTATCTGATCATTCTGTAAAAGTAGATCCTTTTCACCATGTATGTGATGTGGGGCATAAGGAAGTTTGGGGATGATACTGTAAATCACTAACTGTGGTGGCACCAGGGAAAGGCAGAGTTACTGGCTATTTATGAATTCAGTTTCTTTAGAAACAAACACACACACACTCCAGCCAGATTCTGAGGGTCAGGGTAATGTCAACGTGTAACATGAGAATGCATACAGGAATCGACTAATTAGATTTCTGCAAAGCACTGATGAGGGTCATAAACCTAAGAGACAGTTGACAGAGGCAAATCCCCAGTTGGTTAGACCCACCTGTGGCCTAGTTCCCAAACATCTTGTGATGTTCCCTGTCTGTCAAAGGGCTCATAAACACAGTGGCATTCAGATGCACATGGCACTGCTGTTCCTGTCACTGCCCATATGCCCTCATTCCAGGTTAGTTTACTGTTAATCAACCTGGTTAGACTGATGCCCTTTGGAGTGCCATGTTGGAGTACCATACTCTGTATGGATAAGCTTATTGGGTGGGTGAAGGGTGAGGTTGTCAATGGGATTTGATCATGTCAGTCTGAATCAGGCTTTGTGAAGGGACAAGAGGCAGCTGCAGATGGTACATTTGGCATGTCTTTACTGGTTGCACATGCACACACCATTTGCAGCATGTGTGTACACAATCCACTATGGCTGTTATGGTCAGCATATAGGCCTAAAATTGGAACACCCTGGCATCGACCCTCATACTCAAATGGACAGGCACACACACACCCACATAGTGCTGTATACCAGATGCACACCACGGCACACACACACATTTTCAGACCTGTTACACTGGACGCATTGCTGAGTGTGAGTCGAGAGTGATATGCTCCCCGTGAAACACAGACATATTGTGAAATGTTATAGTTATTTTGCTCACTGCCATTTGCTCATGCAAAATGTCACCCAAAGTGTAATTTTACTGTAAGTGTCCTATATAATGATTTCATAACACATTCAAGAGTATAACAATTGTGCATTCTTAGAATTCCTGGTCCAGTTTTAAATGACGTTCAGCTTATAAAGGCTTCATAATGCCTTCATAAAGCACTACATAAATGTGTTACAAAACATCTATAACCGTATGTCATGCTATATAAAGGGTTCATAAATGTGGCATAACTGTGTGACATAATCACCAATGTCAAATGTGACATAACCCACTATGTCAAATATCATATACATGTGCTTTATAAAGGGTGACATGTTGTGCTGAAGGATGGCATATGCTCTAAAGTGATGTCATGTTAGTCACATTACACCCAATCTAATTCCCAGACAATTCTGCCCAAATGTGCGGAAGGTCTGGTGGACCAACGCATAAAACTTGGCCTTCATTAGTTAGGGTTAGGTTTAAAATAACATTTTAACAAGATCAATTGTGGAAATGGGCAGGATTTAGCAATAAATATGACTTTTTGACTGTGTTAAGTAGTGACGATGACAAATACTTTAATCAGTGAGGTCACTCCTATAGAATTCTATGGTCACTCCCACTTAGGCCAATTTTGAATGGTTGACATCCCAGGCTTATATGTGATGTGTGTGCAATAGCCTGGGGACAACAATTCACCAAAGAAATTGAAAGTGGCTTTCTTCCGGAACCAAGTTACATGTTTTTCAGTACACAAACACGCACACAACAAAAACAAGCCAAATTGCGTGGTGCTGGGCCCAGTCAGGTCTTTGACACGTTCACCCACTCCCCCGCTGAAAGATCAGCCACAAAATGTTGGCACCATTGTAACAGGTTGTAATCAAGCCCTGGTCTCCAGCATGGGAACAGAAGAGGAATACCTGGTGCGGTAGTCTCAGGTTGGACTACTCCAAATCATCTTGGTTCTGACACACACACACACAAACGCAAGATTTGCAGGTCCATCAACCCATTGAAATAGCTCTCACACCCTACAGTAACCTGTGGATCATGAGAGAACCTTCATAAATCAGCAGAATGTTAATAACCTATTTATTGACACTTTAAGTAGCGTCCTGTAATCCTTAGTTTGAAGTGAGACACCTTCAGTCATTATAAACATATCCTTAACTCTATATCGCATGGCGCTGTACTTAATTTAAAGTCAGACAGGTCATTTATAACACATACATAAATACCTTGTATCATATGACGCTGTACTTACTATGAAGTCAGACACCTTTGGTCATTCATAACACATACATAAATGCCTTATATCATATGATGCTGTACTTACAATAAAGTCAGACCCATTTGGTCATTCATAACACATACGTAAAGGCTTAATGATTTAAACACAAATATATTAACACTAAGGGCATTATCACTAACAGCTAAAACAAATAAACATTAAAGACATGTTTAAACCATACAAAAAGTCCAGCAATGCAATTACATTGAACATTACACAGGGCTGTGAATAGTGTAGCTTGTACCTGAGCTGGCGGACGAATGGTTGTTGCCTCTCTGCCACCTGGAGGTACTGCATGTTCCAACCTTCAAAGTAACAACAAAGAAAGTTAGCAGGTCTGTTAGGAAATGCCTTTGTCACACCATCTGGATAAGGGCATTTCTGTGCTGCACCAGAAACATTAAATGTGAAGATAGGAAACTCCATTCAATTCGCATTATTATAGTCTTCTTTCGTTTACAAATCTCATGACGTGACTATGCGACGTGGCTGTATCTAGGGGGGTTTGTATTTAGCCGAGCCTGCTAGCTAGCTAAATTTCGGGTAGCTAGCAATTGCTGTGAAGTCACTGAAATTATTTGAAATAATGATTGAGTTAGCTACAGTGTGTAATCTAACTCAACACTTAACTACTACAAACTAATTTAAATTACAATAAATAAAGGTTAACTTGTTTTTCACTGTCCAGTGGCAGCACAAGTGGGCATTTGATTTGCGAATTCATCACATGATCAGCGTCTTGTCAACAACACTAAAGAAGTACTTCCGGATCACGGAATTTGCCCCAAGTGCCCCACATAATAGTAGAGAAGTGTCAATAAACATTCATGATATATGAAAAATAATAGTCTAAACATTAACAATTATTCATATTTGTTCATATTGAAGTGACATTTGCATTACATTTGGGTTTTAAAACATGTTCCAAGGTCAAATAAATGCCCCCAATGCTAATCACAGTATATGGAAGACATATTGGCTTAGAGCAAGAACTACTCTGGGTGCCACAGTAGAAGTATTGAAGGGAATACTCAGTAGGGTCTGTAGAATGTATATATGGTGTCATTTCATGGGGCTTTGAATAATACGGAGTGATGCTGGCCTTTTACTCCACCCATTCCATTGGCGGCCAAATAACATCACGTGCGCTTACTGCAGTACAGAATTCCGCTAACCAAACAACAGTCCAGGGCATGCTCACTGATTTAAAGGGCAACTACTTCACATTTTTACCAGACCTCAAAAGTCATCCCCTTTTGTGTTTTAAGCATTATTGTGAACACAAAAAATCTAAATGTTGTTGTTGTTCTATTAAAAAAGTGTGAAAAACTGCGGTAAACCAGAAAATTGGGGAAATCCGAAAACTGGAAAAACAAAATAAAGAAAACGAAATTTTGGGGAAAAAAGGTGGCAAAAAATAAAAATGATTTTAAAATGCCTTACCAGCGTTTTTTTCTGTGCATGACTGCACTTTAGAGTGTGTGTCATCCTGCAGCACTGCATTTTGTGGGTAGTTGAGGTCAGGTCCAATACTGACTATAGGAAAAGAGATAGGAAAAGAGATTGTGCCATCTTGGAAATGTTTTAGTGAAATATAATATAATATATAACATTTTGCAGATGCTTTTATCCAAAGCGACTTACAGTCATGCGTGAATACATTTTTACGTATGGGTGGTCCCGGGAATCGAACCCAATATCCTGGCGATGCAGTGCTCTACCAAGATGACAGGGTTATAAATGCTTTGTGAAGCCTCAATTTAATATGATTTATGAGGCCTTTATTAAGCAGTGCTTCTGCCACCCTTTTTTAAAGCACAGGTTTATGTCATATTTGACATTGATGGTTATGTCACACAGTTCTGTCACATTTATGAACCCTTTATAAAGCATGACATAGAGTTATAGATTATTTATAACACATGCATGTAGTGTTTATGAAGGCTTTATAAAGGTTTTATGAAGCCTTTACAAGCTGCACGTCATTTAAAGCGGGACCGAATTCCTTAGAAAGCTGTTGTAAACTTGGAGCTCTCAATATTAAGCAGTCTGACACTCAATTACTCAATCCACACACACTGGCCTGACAAGTGACACCCACACACAAACAAAAGCCTCATTGGGTTCAGGGGCAGGTAGATATAAATAGTGCTCCTCTTGACTGCTCAGTCACAGGAGCACGCAGCAAGCCACGCTCTCTTGTGACCAAGCCCACTGATCCTTCCAGAGGGCTCGAGAAGTCACCCTTGTGTCTGTCTCCAGAGCTGAGATTTACGCTCCCTAACCCCTACACGGAACAAGGCACATGCTTCCCAGGGCATGAGGACATTGGGGGGGGGGGGGGGGGGGAGGGATAGATACCATGCTCCCTCCAACCAACTCCCCCAACAACAATGCCTTGGCATCAGATACAGGGGTATAAAAGCTTGGGTAATAATACTTGTGCTGGTGAGTTGCAGTTATCCTTTTCTGGGGAAGAGGGCTAGGAGATACAGAAGGAGGGAGGACAGACAGTCATACATACAGGAGTTTGTCATGAAGGGCCATACGCAAGTAAATCCTTTGTAAATCAGTTGTTCCTCAAAAGAAAAGTCCACCATTGGTTTGATTAAAGCAACAATTATTTTACTTCTGTTTTCTGCTTCTCTAACCTTCTCTTGTCTTTTCACTTTATATGTCCTATCTCTTTGCTGCTTTCCACTCTTTCACAGGAAACACTTGTGAAACATCAACAGCACCTACAGAGGCAAAGGGATGTTGTCGCATACAGGATGAAGAAGCTGGCAGCAAAGCAGGTTGACGTTACAGTAAGTCAATGATTGTCTGCTGAAGTCTCTCGTCAGATGCCTGAAGAACACTTGTTAGCATCCTATTCTATTTCATTAAGATTCACAGCTGGGGTGAGTTCAATTGCAATTCATTCCAATAATGTTTATGGAACATTATGTCTGAGGGATAGGGAGATTTGGGAGATGGTGAAACAAACCTGAAATGGGTTGAAATGCAGCAATGGTTTTAAAGGCTTTACAAATAATTCATAGTCACTTGTCACTGTAAATCTGTATCTTTAAAATGGTATCTCCATTGCATTGCTGCCAAATGTAGTCTAATTAGGATTATTTTTTCAAACTGCTAATTCTGATCATTTCACGTGACCCCTCCCCCACTTCAGAAGAAGACCAACGCACTGAAGGAGAAGATTAAGAAGAAGTATGAGGACATGAAGAAGGTTCTGGATGAGGACCTGCGGATCACGCTGACCCAGCTGGACATGGAGTATCAAGCCACAGAGTGCACCATTGAGGACAGAATGGAGCGCTGCTACCACCTCAGTCAGGAACTTGACCAGGAGATAGCCCAGCTCAGCACCCAAATGGAGAAAGAGCAGACATACGACAAGGTGAAGGCCGTCTGAACATAACATAGGGACATTCTAATTTGACATACGTGCCTGTAACTTTCACATAAAGAGTGCGACAGCAAGTTAAACACACTTACTTCATGTTTGGATTTGGCCCGTAGAAGCAGGGTTTGAGTCATTTGTAAATTCAATTGCTGATCAAATTCAATTATTGATTGCAATTCAAATGAAATAGTCTCCAGGATGCAGAATAGGAATTCCAGTATAGGAAATATAATTTAATTAAATGAAGCGTTCACCCTACATGAATGTCATGTTTGTACCAAGTCCTGATATTCATACTCGAGTTACCTTGCAAATTCCAAAAGTTATGCTAGGATGCTACAATCTACATGGGTGTCAATGGAGAGGCTAATTTAGTCAAATGTATTGAAAAAGAAATTTGGTAGCACTTTATAATAACTCCACATAATAAAGCATTTATAATGGATAAGTTATTCATAATTTATGAATCATTACTCCCACATTTGTAAATGTTAGTAACCTGGTTATTCACACATTTATAAACATTTACATTTACATCATTTAGCAGACACTCTTATCCAGAGCGACTTACAAATTGGTGCATTCAACTTATGATAGCCAGTGGGACAATGGGGGGGGGGGAGGGGGGGATATAATTATTACTTTTATACTACTCCAGGTATTCCTTAAAGAGGTAGGGTTTCAAGTGTCTCCGGAAGGTGGTCAGTGACTCCGCTGTCCTGGCGTCATGGGGGAGCTTGTTCCACCATTGGGGTGCCAAAGCAGTGAATAGCTTTGACTGGGCTGAGCGGGAACTGTGCTTCCGTAGAGGTAGGGGGGCTAGCAGGCCAGAGGTGGATGAACGTAGTGCCCTCGGTTGGGTGTAGGGTCTGATCAGAGCCTGAAGGTAAGGAGGTGCCGTTCCCCTCACAGCTCCGTAGGCAAGCACCATGGTTTTGTAGTAGATGCGAGCCTCAACTGGAAGCCAGTGGAGTGTTCGGATGAGCGGGGTGACATGAGAGAACTTGGGAAGGTTGAACACCAGACGGGCTGCAGCATTCTGGATAAGTTGTAGGGGTTTAACGGCACAGGCAGGGAGCCCAGCCAACAGCGAATTGCAGTAATCCAGACGGGAGATGACAAGTGCCTGGATTAGGACCTGTGCCGCTTTCTGTGTGAGGTAGGGTCGTACTCTGCGAATGTTGTAGAGCATGAACCTGCAGGATCGGGTCACCGCTTTGATGTTAGCGGAGAACGACAGGGTGTTGTCCAGGGTCACGCCAAGGTTCTTTGCACTCTGGGAGGACAACACAATGGAGTTGTCAACCGTGATGGCGAGATCATGGAGCGGGCAGTCCTTCCCCGGGAAGAAGAGCAGCTCCGTCTTGCCGAGGTTCAGCTTGAGGTGGTGATCTGACATCCACACTGATATGTCTGCCAGACATGTAGAGATGCGATTCGCCACCTGGTTATCAGAAGGGGGAAAGGAGAAAATGTATTGTGTGTCGTCTGCGTAGCAATGATAGGAGAGACCATGTGAGGATATGACAGAGCCAAGTAACTTGGTGTATAGAGAGAATAGGAGAGGGCCTATAACTTTGCCCTGGGGGACACCAGTGGTGAGTGCACGTGGTGCGGAGACAGATTCTCGCCACACCACCTGGTAGGAGCGACCTGTCAGGTAGGACGCAATCCAAGAGTGAGCAGCGCCGGAGATGCCCAACTCGGAGAGGGTGGAGAGGAGGATCTGATGGTTCACAGTATCAAAGGCAGCAGACAGGTCTAGAAGGACAAGAGCAGAGGAGAGAGAGTTAACTTTAGCAGTGCGGAGAGCCTCCGTGACACAGAGAAGAGCAGTCTCAGTTGAATGACCAGTCTTGAAACCTGACTGGTTTGGATCAAGAAGGTCATTCTGAGAGAGATTGCAGGAGAGTTGGCTAGAGACGGCACGCTCAAGAGTTTTGGAGAGAAAAGAAAGAAGGGATACTGGTCTGTAGTTGTTGACATCGGAGGGATTGAGTGTGGGTTTTTTGAGGAGGGGTGCAACTCTCGCTCTCTTGAAGATGGAAGGGACATGGCCAGCGGTCAACAAAGAGTTGATGAGCGAGGTGAGGTAAGGGAGAAGGTCTCCGGAAATGGTCTGGAGAAGAGAGGAGGGGATAGGGTCAAGCGGGCAGGTTGTTGGGCGGCCGGCCGTCACAAGTCGCAAGATTTCATCTGGAGAGAGAGGGGAGAAAGAAGTCAAAGCATAGGATAGGGCAGTGTGAGCAGGACCAGCGGTGTCATTTGACTTAATAAATGAGGATCGGATGTCGTCAACCTTCTTTTCAAAATGGTTGACAAAGTCATCCACTGAGAGGGAGGAGGGAGGGGGAGAAGGAGGGGGATTCAGCAGGGAGGAGAAGGTGGCAAAGAGCTTCCTATGGTTAGAGGCAGAGGCTTGAAATTTAGTGGTAGAAAGTAGCTTTAGCAGCGGAAACAGAGGAAGAGAATGTAGAGAGGAGGGAGTGAAAAGATGACAGGTCCGCAGGGGGGAGTGAAAAGATGACAGGTGCGCAGGGAGTCTAGTTTTCCTCCATTTCCGTTAGGCTGCCCGGAGCCCTCTTCTGTGAGCTCGCAATGAGTCATCAAGCCACGGAGCAGGAGGGGAGGACCGAGCCAGCCGGGAGGATAGGGGACATAGAGAGTCAAAAGGTGCAGAAAGGGAGGAGAGGAGGGTTGAAGAGACAGAATCAGGAACTAGAACTTAAACATAGATATACATAACATAGAACTACAATAGACATTCACACCCTGACTCAACAAACAAGAGTTCCATAGGTCAGGACGTGATAGTACCCCTCCCCCCAAAGGTGCGGACTCCGGCCGCACAAACCTGACCTAACAGGGAAGGGTCCGGGTGGGCTTCCAGCCTCGGTGGCGGTTCTGGCTCCGGGCGTGACATCTTCTCCCTTGCTGCCTCCGCGTTGCACCCCTGTCTGGCCTGGACCTCAGCGCGATGCTTCCCCTCTCCTTCCTCCCACGATGTACCAAGCCCTGTCTGGACCCTGGTGTGGGAGGCCCCGAACCTGGAGAGGGGCTGACGTCAGGGCCTGGAGTGGAGCCGCTGACCGGAGCTGGACTGGGCACCGGTGGAGCGGACTGCTCTGGCTCCGGAGTGGATCCGCTGACTGGAGCTGGACTGGGCACCGGTGGAGCGGACTGCTCTGACTCCGGAGTGGAGCAGCTGACCGGTGCTGGACCAGGCACCGGTGGAACGGGCACGGGCCGTGCCGGACTGGGAACACGCACCACTGGCTTGTTGCGAGGAGAAGGCACGGGCCGGGCCGGACTGGGGACACGCACCGCTGGTTTGGTGCGGGGAGCAGCACGGGCCGTACTGGACTGGGAGCACGCACCACTACCTTGGTGCGAGGAGCAGGTACGGGCCGTACCGGACTAGGAACACGCACCACTGGTTTGGTGCGGGGAGCAGGCACGGGCCGTGCCGGACTTGGTACGCGCACCACTGGTTTGGTGCGGGGAGAAGGTACTGGGCTTACCGGGCTGGCGACAGGCACCACTGGTTTGGTGCGAGGAGCTGGCACAGGCTGAACTGGGCTGTGGAGGCGCACTGGAGAGCTGGCACAACCCGTCATGCCTGGATGCCCACTTTCGCACAGCACGCGCAGGGCGCTGGCACAGGACGCACTGGGCTGTGAGCACGCACTGGTGACACAGTGCGTAGGACTGGCGCAGGATATACTGGACCGTGGAGGCGCACTGGAGACCAGGAGCGTTGAGCCGGCACAACCCGTCCTGGCTGGATGCCCACTTTCGCACGACACGTGCGGGGCGCTAGCACAGGACGCACTGGGCTGTGAATGCGCACTGGTGACACAGTGCGTATCTCCGCATACCTAGGTTCCTCAATGAACACATGCTCCTTTTTTTGCCTGACCAGCTCCTCTCTCCGTGCATCCACCACTTCCTTCTCCCTAAGGTCTTCCTGCAGCGCCTCCCTCTGAAAGGATAACTCCTGCTCCCTCTGAGCTAACAGTCCCCGTAACGTGGTGGCCTCCTCTCTCAGACTGCTCCAGTCCTTCTCTCTCTCGCCAATCCTCCTCCAGTGAGGACTCCTCTGGGAGCCCCCACGAGTTAGGGAACAGAACCTCATTGTCCTCGTCATCCTCCGACTCCTCCGTGCAAAACTGTTCCCATTCCTGTTCCCATGGTCGTAGGGACTCCAACTGGAACCCCACCGGGTGCCCCCCAATTTTTTTTATTGGGGTTGCCCCTCGGGTTTCCTCAGCGTTTGGTCCCGTTGGTGTCGTCGTTGATCCTCTCTTGCCAGGGCCTGTACCTTCGTCCAGGGTCCTTTCCCAGTGAATATCTTCTCCCATGACCACCATTTGCCCACCTGTGACAAAGCTATTCACTCCTCCTCGGCACGCTGCTTGGTCCTTTTGTGGTGGGATCTTCTGTCACGATCGTTGAGAGACGGGTCAGACCAAGGTGCAGCGTGAAAAGCGTACATGTTTATTAACTCAATAAACATACAACAAAACAAGAAACAACGTAACGTGAAGTCCTCAGGCTATACACATACAAGCCTAAACGGAACAAGATCCCACAATGCAACGTAGGAAATAGGCTACCTAAGTATGACCCCCAATCAGAGACAATGAGCGACAGCTGCCTCTGATTGGGAATCATACCCGGCCAAACATAGACATAGAACAACTAGAACTTAAACATAGATATACATAACCTAGAACTACAATAGACATTCACACCCTGACTCAACAAACAAGAGTTTCATAGGTCACAGCGTGACACCCCCTTCAATCAGAAAGATTTCTGGCTCCCAGGTGTCTTTTATACAGGTAACGACCTGAGATTAGGAGCACACTTAAAGGGAGTGCTCCTAATCTCAGCTTGTTACCTGTATTAAAGACACCTGTCCACAGAAGCAATCAATCAATCAGATTCCAAACTCTCCACCATGGCCAAGACCAAAGAGTTCTCCAAGGATATCAGGGACAAGATTGTAGACCTACACAAGGCTGGAATGAGCTACAAGACCATCGCCAAGCAGCTTGGTGAGAAGGTGACAACAGTTACTGCGATTATTCGCAAATGGAAGAAACACAG